TATGCTGCAGCTATTAGAGACGCTAAGGCAGGACGTCCTGTGGCGGTTGCTGACCTCCCTTCACTCCCCGACATGCCGCCGTTACCCCCGCAGAAGCCGCAAGGAGCCGTTCCGAAGGGTCCAGCTCCAGGAAGTAACAACTTTTCTTTGTAGTGCTCATCCTTTGAGTCGGGATTTCTCAACGTAGTATATTTCAGTGCGCCCACCGCCGGCTGTTGGACCATTGGCTCCATCAGGACAACCTGGGAAATCAAGGAACACTACCCAACTGGAATTCTTGTTAAAGCGGCAGAACGAGTTCAGGCATGCAGCAATGCAAGCAAAAGCTCAAGGAAATATGGAATTGGCCAAGAAATATCTGCTGGAATCTAAGTTGAGTCCAATTGTAGTCCTGTTTGTCAGTGAGGCGACTGTATTTGATTTGAGGCATGTCTGGCCCACATGTGTCTGCGCTATTTCCGCTTTTCCCTGTTTTCTTTTTGGGATTTGAAAATTCACCCATCTCTTTTGCTTTGCCTTTGCAACAATTGTCGGAAAAATCCAATATTTTCGTCTGTTTTCAGGGTTTCGATAAAATGATAGCAGCTGCCCAGGCCGGCTTGCCTGTTTCAATCAAATCAACTCCTATTCCTCCTCCAAGCAACTACCTCCCAAGCGACCCTTCAACCTCGAATCGTTCCTTCAGCGACAAGTACTACAGGAATTGAAGGTACCGTTTCCTTCTACTGTTTATCACCATCTGTGCGGCTCAATTTTACATTCTCACCACTACTCATAAGCTTCACAAGACGTTTCGGTCAGATAATCGTAAAAACCATCATCTCTAATAAACTGCTGGCAGAAGTGGCGTAGTGGCAAGCGGCACGCCTACCACGCGCTTCAACTCTTTGATGGGCTCCTGCCGATTCTAATCAAGCTTTCTACCCTCCCCCCCCCATGGAAGGTGAACTGATACTTCTCAGGGAAGACAAATTGCTAGATTGACGCCGGCTGCCCGCCGCAAGTCATTGTAAAGGGGACATCGCATTCAATTAGACCAGTGGACTTGGATGGGAGTGGAATGCTAAAGCGACCTCAAAAGGCTTTATCTTACGGCGAAGACTTCATTCCTTTACAGTCGTCTCGCGATAACGCGGCGCGGCTACCTTCTGATAACGGCCCGATGCGCAGGGCGAGCGCGCTTGCCTGCTCGTAGCCTTCTTCGCGATATTTCTAGGACTCTAACTGCTATCAGTGCCTTTTGTTATGTACTCATGGTTGAGCTTCTCGACAAATACATCATCCTTGCTATTTTGACTATTACTAGTATGGAGTGGTACCAAAGTGCGTCGATTATGGGCACAGGCGAGAGAATAGCTGGGGAATGTGTGGAGAAGCGTGAAGAGTGGGGCTCAGCCGCAGCCGATGGAATCTAATAGCTATGTGAGGTGGGTTAAGAGTGTGGAGAATGCGCGTCAAAACTCAGTAAGAATACTATTGTCGCTCCGCACTGGAGCGGTTAAACAACAGACACGCATAAGGGGGGGGGGGGGGCGCCAAAAAGTCATTCGGCGTCACATAGAGGAAGTTTTCGCTAGCCCGACAGAGGAGTGATATGAGTACCAGGGCGGAAGATACCCAATCTCCTCTATAAGCAGGAGCCGGCTGCCGCCATTCACCTTCATGTACACCAAAATATGAAGTCATCTCCAGTCGCGGCCTGAGTGGAGAACGCCTTTGGAATTCACGTGGCCTCCAAACAGCTGCGGAACTTTTGAATGGAATCACCATGGATAGCTACCTGGAGACCAGTACTCTTTGATCTGCCGGAGTCAAACATCGAGCAGCTCCGGCAACGTCGCTACGGTCCAGGACATCATCTTCACCCCATTCACCAAGGCGCGGGTTGATGGTGTGGACCGGCCGTACCTGGAATGGATGAACCGATATTTTCTTCGTGGGCCCCAGACTGAGGGTGTGCGCTGGTGGCTACATCGAGCAACTCGAGGAGAATATCCATGTTCATGTCGTCGCCCGTACCTTCTTGGAAACTTTGTACTGCTACAGGATTGGGTGACAACACATTTAATCGAAGGGCGTTGGAAAAACTTTTGCCTACTTGGAATGGAAGAACGTTGAGTACCTGAAAGATTTAGTATTTAAGCGGGGGTCTGAACTAAACCCCCTCAATTACTCGGTTCGGGCGGAGCTCAACAGGGTGGTCTACAGTGGCGGAGAAATCAACGATCTCGCTCAATCGGCGCACACTCACTTTCGCTGCGAGAACGACCGAATTCTCGATGGCGGCTCCTCCAGAAGGCTGGGCGGAGTATCATTATAGTATTTAATGTGCTCTTTAATATGGTAGTAAAAATGTCCGATAAAAATTTAATAAAGTGTAACTTATAGCGCCTTGAAAGTCATGGAGGCAAAATGACTTTTTTTTGCCCCCCCCCCTGTAGTAATCACGGAATGG